AAGAAGAGTGACTGCTAGACGACAGAGGAAAGCACCAAAAGTTTCAGGGCCTATTTACCTATGTGGAATTTGTAAGACTGACTGTGTAGATAATGTTGAAGATGAGGCTGACAATAGTGTTGGCTGTGACAAATGTTTCAGGTGGTTTCACTGGGGGTGTGTTGGGTTTGAAGCAGACAATCTGTGTGATGATTGGTTTTGTGATAAGTGTCAAGAGTAAATGTCAAACTTACCTATAACATCATGTCCCCACAAGTGGAGGCCTTAAGTTGGAGTACATAGATATAGTTTGTGGTTAGAAATGTACAACTGACACAATAAGCCAATGGATGACTAAAGCAAGCAAATATGCTTGCAGATGATAAGCAAATGAACACGCTTTGCTACATGTACCTAGCAGATGTGCCTGCAAACTGAATTAATGTGTGGTTTGTCTGCAACTGATGGAAAGTACTAGTTATATTTGTTATGAATATGTATGAGGAACTAACTCCATGTTTTGTATAGTTTAGATGTAGTGTAAGTTTTTGTTAATATTAGTTATGTATATGTGCATCATGTATAAGTACTTACGAGTTTGCCTGCCAAACTTTGCCTGCCAGTTTGTCTATCCTGTTCACTAACTTTACCCACTGCTTTCTGCGCATGCGTTCTGCATCCCTTTTCTGAGTTGGGAATGTCCAAAGGATGAAGGGTGGAGGGCATATGCACTGTCCTTTGTTGTGCTTGTAACCTGTGGTTTGCAAAAATTTACAAGAAAATTGTATGTTTCACCATTTGACAGTTTTTGAGATAGGGGTGGGTTAGAAGGATACAAGGAGACAACATAAAAAAACAATGGCTCAGATATATGGATGGGTTAATTTGAACACAACATGTTATTCAAATACATATGCTGTTAAATCTGTGTTTGTGTATTTTCCTTTAAATATAGAAACCCATGTAAAACTCTACAAGAATTAACATACATTACCATCTACTACTACAGACTTATGCTAGATTTGCAATAAATACCATATCTGCCATCATGCTGTGGCCCAAAGACAGATCATTTACCCATAAGATCAGTTATGACGTGCGAATGTAGTGTAGACCTGGCCGACGGTGCCCATCTGTGGACCAAACCAGTAATGGCTGTTGTCCTTCGTAGCAGAAAGGTAAGTCCTCGGTCCGGTGTTTCCGAAGAGTCACACGGAAAAGAACCCGCCAAACTTGTCGATAAGAGTAGGGGTCCACCAGAGTGGATCAGAAACGTATATATAGCACCTTACGCAGCTTGCACTTACGCCGTGACCGGCGGTGCCAGTGCTGGGACATGTGGCGGAGACACAAATTTAAACATACAGACGAACAAACAACGGATTAAATACATGGAAGGACACATTTCGACGAAACAAAATGGAATGAAATGAAAACAAAGTCACAGGTTCAACACAAGATACGCGTGCAAAAACAAAAAAAACTAGGGTGAACGGCGCACTGTTCAGCTTCCCAATCTTCCACTTTTCGTCGGCCATTTTCACATCCAAACACCGCACAATGGCCCCAAAGACTACCCTTTGAGTCTATTTCACATTCAAACTCCATAGCACCAGCGAAAAATGCAACAGAAAGCACCAAAACCAATGAGAGATGAGACCAAAACACTGGCACGCATGTAAACACGCTACATCGCACGGTTCGCGCGTCCGTCCGAAGTGACATTAACCTTTGACCTGGCCCACAATCCTGTGCGGCGCTGGATCTGTGAGAAGGCTTATACTAAGTACATGGTATAAATGTGGTCTAGAAACCGTCTCACTGTGTTTTACCTGCAAAGAGTGCCAGTGACAATAGTGACCCAGCTGACCAGACGAAAGACGTGTACACGAAGTACAGGCCACACAGGAGTCGGATAACTGTCGGCAGCGTTTCCATATTTCTTACAGTCAGTCCTGACTTGTTGTAGTAAAATTCCGTCGGTGACTTCAACTTCGTCGTTCAAATGCTGCTTGAAACTAGAGCACACGATTCCTCATATCAGTTGAAGCTCACCCAGTCTTGTTGATATCAGACTGTGGCTTAAATTGTTGTTTGGTTATGACATCATCGCCTGGACACGTCATACCGAACAGCGAAACACAAATGGCGTAACCCGGAAGTAAGCAAGGGGGAGGGGGCGGCCTAGATCTAGTATACCAAACAAAGATCAACAAAAAGTCTTAAATTCATTCTTGAGTTAGACGGACCGTGGGCTATAGCAAACTATGTGTATTATAGCTCCATGGTTAGACATGGGATCCGCTGCAACAGAGTTAAACTGAAAGCGGACTGAAACGATTAAAGGGCTCGGAGGCAGAAAAGTGGACTAGGACATTCTGTATAATAGGGGTGAAAGGTCGTTCTGTATTCTGAATCTGCTTTCTCTATCTGGGATGGTTTTGTACGTATTTTGTAATCTCCAAGCAGATCTGTCGATGGGGGAAAGATAGTATCAAATTGGTCACTGGCCTGTATCCATTTGCCAAACAGTATCAATTTCCCCACCGAAGATATGGGGAAATGGATACTGTCTGGCATCTTGGATACAGGCTGTCTTACCCCACCCAAAGATCTGCTTGGAGATTATGTATTTTGTAATGTATACTTTGTGGTATCTACCTTCCGATTGTGACATTATGTACTAATCTCTTTTTTTTTCGGTAAACTATATGCTTGTCATTTTTTTTATATTGGGGCTGACTCTACCACATTTTTTTTGTTATTGATGACGTAATGCACAGTTGGGCAACATTGTGCAATACTGGTGCGTTACATACAAATTGCGAATGCGTGATTGTTTTTTTTTATTACATCGTGTGTATATGTGTCTGCTCTTTAGCAACGATCAAGAGCCGCCTACATGTTCTTTAGAAGTTATTATACATGTAACGTTATAACAAAATTGACTGCATTTACCCACGAGGTAAAGGTACAAAGGTCGTTTTTTTTTTTAAATCAGGCTGACAACGTGGTCTTTGGACCTTTTCGTGGGTGATAATGAAACATATGGCTCTCCAACGTATATGAGAACCTGTATAACGTTAAATGAATTTAAAAACTGCAAGCAAGTATTTCCAAATTACTATACAGCCTTGTGTCCTCTTGTGCTTTAATGTCCAACGTAGAGTCAAACCCAGTGATATACAATGTACCTAAAATCACACAGCTATGCCTATCCCATACCCTTCAGCTAACATGTTACAAGTTTTTTTCCTGCAGTGGGCTCGTTTTTCCGTCGAATCGGACCGGTCTTTTTCTTCCGCATACCCTTACAGGTGTCTTCTTCCTTGATCTGGGTCCAGTCCTCGATCCAGCTGACGATTCCACCTGTAGTTTTGGCCTGTAGCCCCCTCCTGCAAGCCAGCCGAACCACTGACCACAAAAAAACAGCACAGTGTCCGTCTGCTTACGAGAGGGGCTCTTTTTTCCGTCTAACCGAACCGAACCGGTGTTACTTTTCCGCAAACCCTTATCGTTGTCCTCGATCCATTCGACAATATTCCACCCGTCGTCTTGGCCTGTAGCCCCCTCCTGCAAGCCAGCCGAACCACTGACCACAAAAACCAGCAGTGTCCGTCTGCTTACGAGAGGGGCTCTTTTTACCGTCTAACCGAACCGAACCGGTGTTGTTTTTCCGCAAACCCTTATCGTTGCCCTCGCTCCATTCGACGATATATTCCACCTGTAGTCTTGGCCTGTAGCCCCCTCCTGCAAGCCAGCCGAACCACTGACCACAAAAACCAGCACAGTGTCCGCCTGCTTATGACATGGGCATTTTTCCGACTAACCGAACTGGTGTTGCCTTTCCGCAAACCCTTATCGTTGTCCTCAATCCATTCGAGGCCCATT